TTCCCTTCTCTGGATCTAACGAATGTGAAGTATAAAAATAACCGATTTTTTGTTCCTCGTTGGGTGGGCTATAATAATATTTTTTTACTCGTATATATTTTTTTAACCTGACCATAATTATTTTTTAAAGTAAAGTAATGTTTTATCTAGCGGTGGTCATGAAGACAAATTTTGCATTCGCGCTGAAATATAACTATCTGAACTAAGTTTTTTATTTTATTAAAATTAGATGATAAGACCTGGGGAAAAATGTCAAAAAAAAGCTTAGAGCGTGATGAAGAAAATGATGATAATTCTTGGCTGAATCCCGGTCAGCGTTAGAATATGTTAGATCAAATGTAAACCCCACCAACCTGACCGGTTAAGGGTGCCTTTTTGAGGCATATGTTTTTTTTATATAATAAAAATATATTTTTTATTTGTATGTTATATTTGTCTTCCGGCAATAATTTTTATAAATAAAGAGAGGGATCCGGTGGGCTACCATTTTTTATTTTTACGCGATTGTGTATTATTAATATCTAGTTAATTTCTTTTCGACTTACGCTTTCACATTTACTATGGGATTCCACTAAAAGTGTAAAAAATATGCGAGTTATGTACGTCGATAATAATATCATAAAATAAATTTTATAAATACACATGTAAAAGTAAATGCGATTATGTATACGCCGAAATCGGCCAATATAAGAATGAATAACAGCTAAGTCATGAAATTTTATTATTTTTGGGTATATGCGCAAAAAGAAATCTAAATTTTATAGTTATGATATCCATGCATTAATATAGTGTAAACAAGATAGATATTTGCTTTATTCTCATGATAATTCAAGCAACTGCTTAAGTTGTGGAGAATCGGGAAATTCGGTCATAAATTTCATTTGTAGAGGTGGTGTAAATGGTTGATTGCGTCCTTTAAAATCCTCGGCAAGTTTATTTACTCGTTCCTGTAAATGAGGAATCTAATTTAAGCTTCATATTAATAGATTTTCATCATGATGATTGAAATAGGACAAACTATATACACCTCTAACGCTACAAAATGACAAAAATTCGATTCTATTAATGGCATCGAAGCTTTATCAGTTGCCAACCTGGTTCTATGAAAAGGCCACGAACAGTATAATCCATACTTAAAGTTCATAAAAAAGGATTCAACTTCATCGCCTAGATTATCTGGATATGTCAGATTTAGAAATATATATAAACAAAAAGTCAACAATTCGTTGCATAAATACCCATGTTTATCAGTGATCCTGCTTCTCCAGGGCCTCCTTTTAGGTTTAGTTGTTGATTTACTGACTTTTTTGCTCTTAAATGCACTTTTGCGAAGTCTTTCTTCTTTCCAAGCAGTGTTACTCCGAGAGGTTTAATCTCAGAATTAAGTATGGGTATATCATCGACAACACAGGAGAAGTCGGGCCGTTTTTTTGTGCCACTTACAGTACGATTAAGTCGAACTTCATATTCTGCGAGGCGTCCAAAAAACAATGAGTTTATATAGGGATATAAAAGCATATCACAATGCAATTCTTCGGAAATTTTGGTTGGAGAATGGGTAGGAATATCACATCTATAATATATTAAATTAAGTAATATTATCATCAGGATTCCCCTCCAAATTACCGATAAAGATGTAAAGTCAACATACAAATCGTTGAACGTGCGAGCAACAGCTTTACTCAGTTTTGATTCATCAGATTGCATATGACTTTCCTTGCCCATTAAATGCATCATTGCAACTTCCCGAAGAACTGTTGAGATTGATGATGGTATTACAGGATGCCGGATCACATATGGGTTAGTTCGAGTTACTTGATCCCATTCACGGTTGGTAAAAAACTTTGAATACGGGCATGGCCAGGAAAGGACAATAATTGATGCGAACGCCCTAAAGCGCAATCGCAAAGTATAAATTTAATTAGAGTAATAAGAATAAACTTTATTCTTCAGTTCCATGTTGTCCCATAATACTTACAAAATTTCGTATGAATCACTCCATTTCAATCCATAGCTTATCACCTTGTCAATGACACTTCGCTGGTACTGACGAAACTTCCGTGTGACGTTTATATTGCCAACCTTCCACTAAGTTATATGAATAGCATCAGAAATGTGGCAAATAATCAAAAGCTCAATACTACATACCTCAATTAATGGCTCCATTTCCAACTGTTTCTTAAGATCAACAAGATCGATTTCAATTTGTTCATCTTGTTCTTCAGTTTCATCATCGCAACTGGTAGAAGAAGCAAGTGTAGATGGATCTTGGGTTGTTTTGGTCTGCCACGCCCCGAAAGTAGTGAATGTGTGAAGCATTTCTACAACTAAACATAGATTTATTCTTTACTAACCTTTTTAGCTGTTTCACATTCTATTTCACCAGTACGTTTGGGTGTATCAGATAAGCTATGTTTTCGATTAGATTTCTGCCAAAAAAAAACATAAAAAACATAATAACTACATTGGTTATTCTATCCATTGACCATACTATATAAAAATTAAATCATACCAGCTTTGCATCAACGTTTTCCATTACCGTTGCGAGCCATTCTCAACTAGAATCCAAATTCCATTATTAATCATATCAACCAAAAAGTGATAAGAATATAATATTTACCTCATCTAACTGCAATCCCTTCTCCTCTGTATTAAGTTCTTCATTCATATATTCATTCTCAATATTATTCCAGAATTTGTCAACTTCTCGGAATTTGGCTCGGTGATTCTGCAAAAACATGAATTTGATAAATACTATAAAAAATAGTTACTGACAACGCAGACAACAACGAACACGCAAGATCATAAAGCGGGCCACACACAAGAAGCCTGCCGTAGTTGTCGGAGTTCTTAGAACTGCTAGAAGATTCTCATACTACATTTCTGTAGACCACAACGAACACGCAAGATCATAAAGCGAGCCACGCGCAAGAAGCCCGCCGTAGTTGTGTGAGTTTTAGACTCTGAGAATCTTCTATACTGCCTTGTCACAAAAAAAAAACGGTTCACAAAAATTCTAATGGCCAGGAGTTGAACCCGGG